GGTAATAAGCGCATACGAAGTTGGGGAGTTCCTGCGAGCACGGCTGGGAGAAGGGAGGTCGGGAGCCTCAGGGAAACCTGTTTGTGTTTGCCTTGTGCTGCTCGTCCAGGTTTGCAAATGAAGAGCCCAGAAAAGAAGCGAAGGAAGTCCAATACTCAGGTGCGTGGTGGTGGGTGGGCGGGAGGGTTCCCGGCGGCCCCTCCCTGCCCTCTGTCACTCCAGCGTCTGTGTCGTGGTCGGGTCCGGGGAGAAGAGAAAGTTCTCTCTCTCGCTGTGTGTCTGGTCCTTTCCTTCAGCTTCATAACATTTGTCAGGGGCCTTGGATGAGATGATTTGCCCGAAGACCCTATCAGCCAGGATCAGAATCTTCTCCCATTTTTCCTGTCCTGGTGCCCTCACGGTCACACCGGCCACTACCCTCTCTGAGCGCCAGGGCTCGTGCTGCAGCGCTCCAGCAGTGTGGGGAGGTGGGAAGTTGTACAGATGAGGCATGTGAGGCTTAAGAAAGTTAAATACTTGCTCCAGGGTCTTGAGGTCTTTCAGTGTCAGGGCTGGGATTCCAGTCCCGTTCTGCCCGTTTTCAAAATACAGTTAGCACAGTGTGCTGCGCCTTCTGCGTCCCTGTTGTATTCTAAGGTCCGTCTTGATTTTTAGAGCTGGGCTGGCTGGAGCCAGCCTCCAAAATGTGGAGTGTGTTTCTGGTGTTCTGGTTTAGCTCTGCGCTTCCCTCCATGACCCCCTTTCCCTCCTCTGTGCCACCAGGGCCCTGCGTACTCACATCTGACGGAGTTTGCGCCACCCCCGACTCCTATGGTGGATCACCTGGTTGCATCCAACCCCTTTGAGGATGACTTCGGAGCCCCTAAGGTGGGGGGCGCAGCCCCTCCATTCCTTGGCAGTCCTGTCCCCTTTGGAGGCTTCCGTGTGCAAGGGGGCATGGCAGGCCAAGTACCCCCAGGCTATGGCGCCGGAGGTGGAGGGGGTCCCCAGCCTCTTCGTCGACAGCACCCCCCTTTCCCTCCCAACCCGATGGGCCCTGCTTTCAACATGCCCCCCCAGGGCCCTGGCTACCCACCCCCAGGCAACATGAACTTTTCCAGCCAACCCTTCAACCAGCCTCTGGGTCAAAACTTTAGCCCTCCTGGTGGGCAGATGATGCCAGGCCCGGTGGGGGGGTTTGGCCCCATGATCTCGCCCACCATGGGACAGCCTTCCCGAGGGGAGCTGGGCCCTCCTCTCCCCCAGCGCTTTGCCCAGCCAGGGGCGCCGTTCGGCCCCTCTCCTCTTCAGAGACCTGGTCAGGGGCTCCCCAGCCTGCCCCCCAACACAAGTCCCTTCCCTGGTCCGGACCCTGGCTTTCCTGGCCCTGGTGTGGAGGATGGGGGGAAGCCCCTGAATCCACCTGCGCCCACTGCTTTTCCCCAGGAGCCCCACACGGGCTCCCCAGCTGCTGCCGTTAATGGGAGTCAGCCCAGCTTCCCCCCGAACAGCAGTGGGCGGGGTGGGGGCACTCCAGATGCCAACAGCCTGGCACCCCCTGGCAAGGCAGGTGGGGGCTCAGGGCCCCAGCCTCCTCCGGGCCTGGTGTACCCGTGTGGTGCGTGTCGGAGTGAGGTGAATGATGACCAGGATGCCATTCTGTGCGAGGCCTCCTGCCAGAAGTGGTTCCACCGAGAGTGCACGGGCATGACCGAGAGCGCCTACGGACTGCTGACCACCGAGGCCTCTGCCGTCTGGGCCTGTGACCTCTGCCTCAAGACCAAGGAGATCCAGTCTGTTTACATCCGCGAGGGCATGGGACAGCTGGTGGCTGCCAACGATGGGTGATGCTGGTGCGGTGACCCAGGGAAGCGCATACGTCCCTCCCTGCTCTCCCAGGGTGGCTGTTTCCGTGCCTGGCTCTTGGTCCTTGTTTCCACTGGCTTTCCATCCCCCGGAGCAGAAGTGCAGTGTCTCCTGAGGGCAGAAGAGGAACTGAGGTTGGACCGGCAGGAGCCTGGATCGCTCACTGTTCTGGGAACTTTCACGCTGAGATCTACACAGATCCAGGAAACCAAAGCCTGCCGAGCAGAGCCATTGTTTGGTGGATGTTTCTGGAGGCCGAGGGGCATGGCTGCAAGAGAAAAGAGGCTGGAGGAAGATCTGGAAGGCAGGGGTATCCCTCTAGGTGATGGGTGCCCCCAGCACCTGTGCCTAACACGCCTATCTAGCCCCGCAGCTGCAGCCTTAGTTTTTGGAGTCACGTGTTAACGGTTTCTCGCCAGAGGAGTTTGGGTCTCTTCCCATCCCTGCAGTAGCCCTTCCCTGGGCTCTGGGAGAGAGCTGTGGGGAATAAAAAGGGGTTTTCCTCTTTTCCTGCTCTCTCCTGCCTCCTCTAAAACCTGCTTAACTCTTCCCCCTTCAAAGAACCAAATAGCTTGAAGAAACAGGAGAGTTCTTGGCCACGGCAGTTTCTTGGTGATTTGGGGCTTCAAGACAGTAGGTAAGAGATGCTGTCGGGACAGATCTCCCTGGTACCAAAGTTACTGGTCCTTTCTCAGCTTCTCTTGTGCTTTTCTCCTCATGACCATATTTTTTTGCCAAAAATTGGGATATGTGGTCTGACCAGAATATTTGAAGTTTGGACAGTCCTGGAAGCCTGGACTCGGTGGTACCGCCTTCCCCGCCCTGCCCATCCGTTGCACATTATTCGCGTTGGTCTTCAACTTCTGGTGCCCTTATTCCCCCGCCTCCCTGGCTTGATTGAAGGAAAGCTTGAAAGGGCACCGAGCCCTTATACCTCATTTCTTCTGATAAAAGGATCCCCGTCACAGCCTGTGGTTGGGGGGAGGCAGCAGGACCCTCATTGCCGAGGTCCTGAAGTGCCATTCAGAGCCTGGGTGTTCCTTCTCTTTCCCCTGCTATTGGTTGCATCTTCTCGGGCCTGGCGTGCTAGCAGTTGTCATTCCTCTCGGCCGAAGTTTTGGGCTTTATTTGTTTTTATTTTTAAAGCACTGCCTGCCAGAGGTGGACCTGGGGCCTGCACACATGACCCAGGGGGTGGGGAAGGCGGGCCCGAGGAGTTGGTGGCCGCCTGGACCCCAGCATGTGCAGAATTCACTGCCTGCCCAGGTGGAGCCAGCGGCCTCTGCCCGCCTCTCAGTGTCCCCTGACTCTAAAGCCGCAGAGAGCAGCCCCCCCCCCCACTTTGTGTTGTGTTTGTGGTTCTGTTTGCCCCTCTTTTATCTGTTGCTATTTTTGTGCTGCCTCCCCCCCATCTCAGCATTTTGTAAAGTGGCTCCTGGGGAAATATCTGCTTAGTCCCTCATTCCATTGTTTGGAAGAAAGTAGGGGTGGCAGAAATGTGATGGGGGGAGGGGTCTTTTGTACGGTTGGATTAATAAAACGACGTGAAAATCCAGACAAGGACTCCTTGCTGTTTATGTGCACAAAGGTTGGGAGGAGCTGTGGTCACCGCTGGGAAGGGTACTGGGGGATGTATGCCTTGAGGGGCCCAGGTGGTGGGAATGGCAGGAAGGGCTCCTGGAGCGAACCCTGGTTCTGCTGAGCCTGAGCGGAGAGAGTCCTGTGTGCCCCACCCCGGGCCCTGCGTCCCCGCTGAGAGAAAGTTTCTTTTCTGAGCACATTCCTGGGCCGGGCCTCGAGCCAAGAGA